GAAAATTCCAGCTATTTCACTTCCACCTCGTGTTTTTCACATGAATTAGATGATCTGTCAGTATTTATAATAAATCTTTCGTTTATGTAGATCTTTAATTAACTTGTTTTGCACAATAAATTTATTTTATATTGCTATTTACATAGCATAACAACTTACACCAGTCTTCTACCCCAATCTGGGAAGACGCTTCTTCTGTTAGTCTCTCTACTATCAGCTCTATACATAGAGTAAGTCTTAAAATTTCATGCCCACGCGATTTTACAATTTAATCAATGACATTGTGGGTGATGTCTTATTTAGTGTAAACAATATGAACAATGTTGCTTGCTTGATATTCCGTAATGGCGGCCATTTACTGCGTGCAGCCAATTGACACAATTCATAGAAATGTTGATTTTTAGGTTCTTTCCGTTAAGGACAAGGCAAAGGTTTTTAAAATCATACAGCCAAATCTTGGTGAATATTTTAACCGACTTCAAAGTAAAGAGAAGGTTCTCTATTCGACTGTATTTTTTTTATGTATGTTACGAGATAATTTTTGTGAACCGATTTTAATCGTAGTTCCATTTAAATTTGAAGAAAATTTTCTACCTCTAAGGGTGGCAAACTAGGGGATGAATCCGGTAACCCGGGCGGCGTCGTGGTGAATGTTCACTGATCCCACGGCGCCGACTCAACCGGCGAGAGGGAAACCCGGGGGGGTTTTGGTGGGGTAGGCCCTCCAGCCTGGAGGGAGAGTCCCCACATAACCCCTGAGTCTCCCTGGGCTCAGGGGTATCCATAAAGATTTCCCCCCGCGCACTTTCCGATAACCGAAACCGGTAGGCATTAAGCTACATCTTCTGGGTTTGTTAGCTCTTCGGTGGGTGATCATAACCAAGTGGACTTAATTTAGGGAATAAAGGGCTAACTCCGAATAAAGTTCAAATTTCGAAAATAGCGTGAGTTATAAATATTTTGTATCAAGTATTTATAGTACACCACCTGGTGCCCGGGACTTCGTCTGCGTAGAATAAGTTCTTCGAGCAGCCAACTGTACTATATTAATTTCATAGTTTTATTGGTTCTTCATACACACTTTCATTTCCTATTTCACCACTTTATTATTTATTTTTGTGACAAAAGTAGCCAATGCACTTCTTCTAGGTCCTATCTATACCTATACCAAAATTCATCAATATTGGTCGAGCGATTTAGTCGTGAAAACGTAACAGAAGTGTTACTTTCGCATTTATAATATTACTTTGAATGTAGGTAACAAGTATTTGTAAGTCAATGGTAACAAGTTAATATTCCCAGGTGAAAATCGTCTCATATTTCTTTATTTACTTACATTCAGATACACCCAATGATACGTACATAAGATCATTGGGTAGACCTTATAACTACATATATTTTCCTAGTTGTGCACATATGTATCTGTATCATTTTGAAGTTTATAATGTGTTTTTTTTGTTTTTGAAGTATTTCTCCTCTTTTTCAGACCTCTCTACTTCAACTTATCCTCGGCGAGCTGCCGGCGACTCAAGGCTCAGTCTCTCTGGACGGGGCTCGTATCGCCTATGCCAGTCAAGAACCATGGTTATTCGTTGCCACTGTAAGACAGAACATTCTGTTCGGTCTACCTTATGACCGCATTAGGTATAAAAAAGTAAGTATCTATAGGAACGCGTTTTAAATATATGTTTTTATTTTGATAGTATAAAAATGTATATGTTACTACTTTGCTAAATATAACATAATCGTAAAATCTTCTCGTTATCTATTTGCAAAACTCGCCTCAATCCCTATGTCGCAAGTGCTCTTTTTCCAATGGTATCAGATTTGATATGAGCATAGATTTTGCAAGCTGTGTACACTTATTACACCATATAGTTTTTAGTAGCACCGAACCGAAACACGGTAATGGTCACATTATTGTTTTTTTGGTAGAAATAGGTAAGTTGACAGTATTTCTCTGGATGAACTTTTTCACAAGGAGTTCTACTGCAGCTAAAACTCAACATCTCCAGAAATACATACATCCTATATTCCACGCCCTTGTTCCCACCGGGGTAGACGTTGATTTGTATAAAAAAAAGATTATAATCTAACACTTCTGACACACAGCTTTCACCTCATCAACACGAATCAATGCTCTTATGACTCCAGACATAAGATAATATCTACATTTTGATAAGCGAATATAGCTTTATCTAAAGAATAAACAATATTGTATGTTTATGTTTCTAATTGTGCGGAAGTACATGTTAATCTCTCATTATGATTCTAAATTGAACTTTTTGAATCTAGAATCTTACGATTTTGCATACATTAGGGTTTTCATTCATTCCTAGTATTCATTCATTTATTAATTTTCGCTGCATTTCCGCATCCCGCTAAAAAATCGAGACTCTATGCTATCTCGAAAATCCCGGTTAAATCGAGTTTCAAGATAAAAGTCAATGTTCAAGACTATTTAAAAAATCGGTTTTCATAGTTATAGTCTTAGAATGTAGGCAGTCAAAACGTGATATTTTAATTATGTTCTTGATGGACTCGAATTATAAAATAAATAAAAAATTATTAACGAAAGTTTTTTTAACTTTTATTGTGGGCATGTAAGGATCTAAGGGCGTTTATTATAATTTTAGATACAGATGACCGGCTATCAGCGCAAAAGTGATGAAACATGATAAAAATATTTAATTTTTTTTTATACATGAAAATAGCATTCAGTTATAAAATAATTACGTACTTTAGTATCATTTAAAGTAATATTGTAGAGAAAGAATTAAATGTGAGTTAGACCACTTTTGCGCTGTATACCCTCAATTAAGAGTAAGCGTCGAAAATGGCAAAAAATCCTCGAGACTAAGCACTACAACATTAATTTTGTGACGTCAGGTGGTGACAGCATGTGCCCTACTGCGAGACTTCGAGCAATTGCCAGCTGGGGATTCAACTCTTGTGGGGGAGCGTGGCATCAGCCTCAGCGGGGGACAGCGCGCGCGTATTGGGCTCGCTCGTGCTTGCTATAGACAAGTAAATCATTTATAATTTATATAAATAATATATTCATAAATACCATGATGTATGTAGATAAAGTTTAAAGATTTTTACGCCTTGTTTACGTATGTAAGATGGTTGATTTTATATTTTATTCGTATGTAAAGCCAAAGCAAAAAGTTTCAATGCTCAAAAACATAGTTATTCTTTATATAACATTTGTTTCTGAGATACTTAACAATTCGTTTTTATGCTTATAAAAATAAATTATAACATTATTAAGTCTAATTTTTCTTGTTATTTACTTCCTTGCAAGTGGGATGAAAAATATAGTTGCCATACGGGCGGAAAAAACAAATGAGCCTCGAATCTTTGAATGTTCGTAATTGCCTACTTACCGCCCTTGTGACGCAATGTACTATAATATTATGACGGATTTTTGTAATGTAAGCCTTTATACGCCACGATATATATGTATACTTACAAAATCTATAGTTAATCTATAGTTACAAACACTGCTTTATCTATACACATGTTATAAGCTCTCTTATATGTTCAGGAACCGCACGTTACGACTGGCGAATATAAAATATAAAAACTTTTCTCGCGCATCTCACGCAACCATAGTTTTTATTTAATACATAGACAAACTAGAGTCGGCCCCAACTATCTTATCGTTCGATATTAAGTAACGTGTGAAATTTACAAAATTATTTGTAATTGACATCTTATTTCGAATAAAACTTAATCTCGACTGACATTAGAATTGAGGTCGAATGAAATTGTTTTGCTTTTCTGAGATGTTCGAAATTTGAATATCATAAAATCGAATTCGATGTTATTATGAAACAATAATAACATTTTAACAGATAAGAAATTTGTTCCAACAAAACAGTTTATCTATAAGTTGGTCGTAATTTGCGGTTTTTGAACACATCATAGAGTGTTTATGATATGTGTGTAGATAAAGTATTTTTAGTGCAAGAGTTTTTTTGTTTTCTCTAGCAAGATATACTCGGCACGCATTGCTGTGCCACTAAAACAAAAGAAGTCACGTAGTGGAGAGCCACTTTATCAGCCGTAGGATGGCTGTAGGCACATTTGTTGAAAAAACTGGCCCATCTGTTTTTTTTTTAAATGATTCGAAACTTTAGCGAGTGTGTGTACAACAAATAAACATGCATTATATTATAAATATATATGTTTTAGCTTTGCGGTATAATAGTGGAGAACGGGAACCACATAACTATAATTTACAAGAGCTTTACGGAAACTATTTACCAGAGCTTTACGGAAACTAAATTTTTCTTGTAGATAATCTGCGCTACCGGGCACATAATTCGAGCCCTCTTCCATTTTTATTTTTGAAAGGGTTAGAATACAAAAACGTTCTTGTCATCGAAGAAAAAATTACCGCGGTTTTACAAATTAAAATTTTCAACAAGGACAAACGTGAGGCGCACTATAAGTTTCCGGAATGAATAAGAAGAAAATAGTATAAATGGTCAGAAATGAATTTATTGTTTCTCAAAATATTCTCCATTAACGTTAATGCAATTTTTCATACGAATGAACGAAGTTGCCACTCGTCCGAGAAAATCTCTAAAACGCTCTAAAACGTATTTTTCATACTCTTCGACAGCCTCTTCAGGTGATGAAAATCGTTGAAGCGAAACTGGTTCTTTTTTTGGTAAATTTTTGGAAATAAATAAAAGGCACAAGGTGCCAGGTCGGGACTATACGCGGGGTGGCTCATAAGGTCAACGTTGCTCACCTTCAAAAATTCATTTGTCTGTCTGGCCGTGTGAGAACTGGCATTATCGTGGTGCAAGATGGTACGGCGTTTAAGGTTATTTTTACGGAGTTTGACAATAACTTCCGGCAAACATATGGTCGTATACCAATCACTATTAACGGTACAACGATTCTCCAAAGCAACAGTAGCCACGTGTCTAGTTTTATTAAAAAAAGAAGCAATCATCCGCTTAGAGGCACTTTGCACGCGCGCCACTTTGGTTGGTTTCGGCTCATCTCGAAAGACCCATACGCTCAATTGCTGCTTTGTTTTGGGATCGTAACTATAAATCCATGTTTCGTCACCTGTTACTATGTCCCACACCAAATTTGACGCCCGTTCGTTGAATCTGGTAAGCATGGCATTGCACCAAGTGATGCGATCCGTTTTTTGAGCCTCAGTCAAATTGTGTGGGATCCACCGAGGGCACAGCTTTTTCACACCCAATTGTTTGTGTAGTATTGATTGTATTTGTCTCATGCCTATGCCTAAAGATGCCCGAATCTCATGGTATGTCACATGCCTGTCTGTTTTGATCATACGGCGCTCAGCATCGATGTTTTTGTTGTTCACAGCAATGGACGGGCGACCATCATGAAATTCGTCACTAAAATTCACACGACCAGGTTTGAATTTTGCAAACCAGCTATAAATAGTCGTCTTGCATGGTGCTTCATTGCCAAAAGCAGTTTGAAGCCGAGTGAAGCTCCGCTGAGCTGTTAAATTACACTTAAAGTCGTAGACAATCATACTACGAAAATTTTCAAGAGTTAAATCGTTTTTAGGGTATCGTGTGTAAACATAAATAGTTTTTGATGAATAAAAAAATTTTTAAGCTTAGGATATTTAATACTCTGTTGGATATTTAATACTGGTTCTCAACTATTATACCACAAATCAATAAAATTACTTGCAGCTAAATTTCAGAAGTTATATTGACAAAAAAAATGGAATTTTGTAAAAAATTTTTAACCGCCTTCAAAAAAGAGGAGGTTTTCAATTGGACTGTCTACTTCGACATTTGCAAACCGATTTCGACGATTATTTGTTTGTTGAAAAAGGGGTACCTCTAAGGGTGGCAAATTAGGGAATTAATTCGGTTTATTAGATTTCACCCATTTTCCTTTAATCGTTTTCAATGAAATTTGGCAAAAAAATATAATTCCACAAACCTTGAGTTCGTTTTTTTATATAAAAAAAGTTATAATTATATTAATTCTCCTATTTTCGTTCTATAAATTACTATGATTATTTACTTATTATATTTTACCGGATTAACGAATATTTGTAATCGCCTTCCGTAAACATGCTTACCACAATACACTTGACAACATAAAAAATATTGTATTATGGAAATTATATTAAATTATATTGGAAATGGGACGATATTTATACAAAACATGTAACATGTATTCTGTGTGCATTTCACAATGATATTTTATTCCTATTTAGGCGGACATCTATCTCTTGGACGATCCTTTGTCTGCAGTGGACACACACGTTGGCAAACACCTGGTCTCTGAATGTCTTCTGGGTCTTTTAAAACACTCCACTAGGATCCTTGTCACACACCAACTTCACCACTTGAAAAGTGCCGACAAAGTTGTAATACTGCGGAATGTGAGTACTCTGTCATGATTGTTTACATATTTTTAATTTTTTTTTCTAAATTTAAGCATGTTATACACTACTACTACTATATTAGTACATTATTTAGCATAGTATATTATTTCCTTTATGCCTTAAGTACTTAAATAGTAGGTAGTAGTACCTACTGTAAACAAAGCTTACAGATCTTAATTGCTTTGTCTAATCACAATATAGTAGCTTATGTGACTGTTACATAATGAAAGGCGTTAAAATACGAGTATGGATTTACAAAAAAATCATAAAAACATCACACGAATGTTTTAATGCCTAATTATGTACAGTTACATGCCCTGCTTTATCTATACATATATTATAAGCTCTCTATGATGAGTTCAGAAACCGCATGTTACGACCGGCATTGCGGCATTGCTCAGAGCTATTAGCAGTAATTATTGGTAAAATAAAAGTAACAACTAGGAAATGAGACTATTTTTTCGGATTTAAATCGCTTATATTTGTTTTTTCAAACAAACCGACGTGACTGAGAGTCAACCGTGACCATGGGACCTGTAAAGGACCCGAAACGTCGGTTTGTTTGAAAAACAAGTATACGCGATTTAAATCTGGAAAAATAGTTTCATTTCCTATGTTTAACAATAGCGAAAACCAAAGAACTCGATAAAACTAAAAACTATTTCTCACGCATGTCACGCAACCGTAGCTTTTTTAATTCATAGACAAACTAGAGTCGGCCACACGTCGGCCCCAACTATCGTATTCGAAATTTGAATGTAATAATAAAATCGAATTTGATGATAATAGAAAGCAATAATAACATTTTCACAGATAAGAAATTTGTTCTAATAAAACAGTTTATCTTTGTGCTGGTCGTAATTTGGGGTTTTTTAACACATCGCAGTCATAGAGGGTTTATGATATGTGTGGAGATAAATACTTTTATAACTTTCGTGGAATCATTTCACATTCAAATATACAGGACGTAGGTATGTTAAACAAATTGTTTCTATGTTGGTGTTGCAATAATGACTTAAGACAAATATTTCAACAAGTTTTAATGCTACGGAAACTAAAGTCTTTGTACACTCAGCTGTGTCAGGTATCAAACTTTTAAGAGGATAGTTTTGTTTTATGATAGCAAGTGACGGGACGAACGAGTCGAGCGCCTGGTGGTAAGCGACATGCCTGCCCATAGTAGTTGCAGTGCCACTCAGTGCTTTAAATTGCAAAGATCTGCAAGTCGATTCAGAACCTTACGATAACTCTGTTGTCGACCGATTCGAATAGATATCGTACGATTTCTTTTAATTTTTATTCACAATAACAAAATCGAACGTCAAACTGTCGTATTTGAAACCGAACCGAAATGACGTCACACCCGTACGATTACTCGTACTTCTCGACCGGCAAAGGCTACAAACGTTATTCAGAACGCTGTTATCGAATGAAAGTTACCGAAATCCTATTGTTTACAAAGCTAGAATGTATTATATTTGTAGTATATTTTTAAAGCGAGACTTAGAGCTTTAAGAGAATCCTATGTTTTAGGCCTTTAAAGTCTTAAAAATGTATATAAAAGGATTTTATTTTTTCTTATAATCTATATTCGCCGACTAACTCTATAAACGTGGTTGGATAACGATATCGTATCCGAATTCGAATCGAACGGTTTAACTCGAATGTTCTGAATAGCTCAAAAAGTGCCCTTCGATTCGAGAACAATGTTCAACGATTCGGTTAAGATATCGATAAGTTCTGAATCGGGATCTTGATGGGTATTGCCACTGCGCCCGTCACCCTGAGACGTAAGTTGACAAGTTCCATGTGTCTATAGTTTTACCTTTACCCTTTACCCTTCAAAACCGAAACGCAGTAATGTCACATCACAGCTTGGCAGCGGAAATAAGGAGCTCTATAGCTATTGAAGTTTAACGCGACCACGCTATTGCGTTAAATATTTGATAACATTGTTGCAGTCTCTATCAGCTATGACGTGGACTTGGCTGTGTAAGCGAGAAAGCACTCGTTTGGACATATTCACTACAACAATAATTAATTTTAGGGAAACTGACAAAACAAATAAAAAAGCTCCGTGTCCCTTTGTTAGTTAGGGAAACTCTAATTGTTGTGCTTTTGGTGGACGATGGGGGAGGGAGGTGGCAGCGGAATTAAATATACATGATGTAAATTTGAGACGGGGCAGCAAGGCCAGCTACATTAATCGTTGCAGTTACAGGAAAACGGTCCTAGAAGACTGACTATGAATTTTAAAGATATTTTGATTGGCATTCACAGATTTTGAAAAAATGGTACAGTCAGCAAGATAAAAGGCAATTTTTACAAAACTTTTTTTTATGCCATTCGATTTGGTCTCTGATAAGGATCAATAGTCTCTATGACACCAACTGAGGTAAGAGTACTCTAAATGTCAGAAACCGCAAAAAACTTTTTACCATACATTTTGTAGGGACCTATTTAGTAAGGAAACTAACAAATTGACAACGTATTATGTATTTCAAAATAAAAACAATAACGAAAAGCAAAATAACATAAAAGGCAATGATAGTAAGTGCCCGAATTGATTGCTGTCTTGGCGGATGCATCGATTCGCTTTCTTCCGCAAAGAGCAAGTAGCGGCTGAAATTCTACTCAGATGGATTCTATTGAAAATTGCTGCAAGTGCGTTTTTCAATTATTGAAGACCGTTGTATATTTTTATAAATTTAATTTTTATAAATTTAAAAAATTAAGGGGCGTCAGATCAGGACTGCGCGGTGGCCATTTGATAGGACCATGTGTTCCAATTAATTTGTTTCCACACTTGAGAACATTTTGATTAAAAATCGTCTTAAAAGTGACAATTCTTTATTAACAAAACAAAACATAGCTGTTCCAAATTAAAAAAAATAGTGATATGATTATAATTTGGTTTTACTTAAGTCTTATTTGTAGAGTAGTGGCCAGTTACGTTTTTAACAAAAAACATTCATTTAAAGTGTGTGGTAAAAGATTTTTTGCGATTTCTGCCATTTTGAGTACTCTTACCACAGTTGGTCCCGTAGAGACTATTGATCATTACCAGAGACCGGATCGAATGGCATAAAAAAAGGTTTTGAAAAATTGCCTTTTACCTTGCTGACTGTACCATTTTTTCAAAATTTGTGAATGCCAATCAAAATATCTTCAAAATTCATAGATAGTCTTCTAGGACCGTTTTCCTGTAACTACAACGATTAAGGTAGCTGGCCTTGCTGCCCCGTCTCAAATTTACACCCTGTATACTAGTTCACTTTTATAAAGAAAGACTGTTTATTCGGGCAGAACACAACTTATTACATAATATCGAGTTATTAGGTTTTAGCGATTGTTACACATAGGAAGTGAAACTATTTTTCCGGATTTAAATCGCGTATATTTGTTTTTTCAAACAAACCGTCGTTTCGGGCCCTTCACTGGTCCCATGGACACGGTTGACGGTTGAAAAAACAAATATACGCGATTTAAATCCGGAGAAATAGTGTTATTTCTTATTACATAATACTTAAATTATAAGACACGACACGACTCGGGAATGGATGACAGGACACAGGATGACATTAGGTTAACTTAACATAGAGAATATAGAACAACCCATAGAGGTGTCCCAATCTTAGAGGATTTCCAATTCACCACATAAATATTGTAGATATGATATTTTGTTTCATGGAGATATTATTTCATTTTTTTAAAGTAATTATTACTGCATTCAAAGACTTTAAAAAGTTCTTTGCCTAATAATTGGAATCGAACCGACAAAATGGGAAACTTGTATTTTTTTTTAAATGCCGATTGAAAAGGATCCACTACTATTGTATTAATTCCCTAGAGGTGATATAGTATCGTAAATTAAAAAAATCGTCATGAAATTTTACATTTCAATTGAGGAAAATGAATTACCGTGTTTTTCTGCAGTAGAGTAGTGCTTCGGCATTATCATTTCATAGACCTCTTTGATTATTTACTAATAAGTACCCCTTAAGGACCTATGTATATGCACGGTTATTAATATTGTAAGTTTTCCTTCCTAAATCCTGTATGTCATTTGGTTGGTACGAAATGTGATAGATTATAGATGTGAGTTATAGATTTTAAATTATTACAAAAGCAAAGTAGATAATAACCCCCTTTACACACTCACTCAATCGCGCGTGATCAGGAGCGTACAAGATTGGGCACGGGAAACCCGGGTGCGATTCGTAATATACAACAACAAATGACATATTTTTAGTGGATATAACGCTCAACAGATATAATTAACAACATAGAAGCTCAACAGACATTTGAGATATTCTTGCATGATATAAAGGTATAATAGACGATTGATATAACAACTTTCACTCTAATATACCGATGGCATAATGTTCATTTTATATAAACACTTCAGATATAACATTCACTGAGTATAATGTTGAATTTGTATGTGTGAAAAAAAAATTAATATAATTCCAGTGTTGTTTAGGTGCAACGGTGAATGAATCGAATTTGTTTACACTTCCTAGTTGGTTCGTCTTCCTCCTGTGGGTTTAGGTTAGGTTAGTATATGACAAAGCTGCCAGAACCGAATTTGTTTGCATTTGCTAGTTGGTTCGACCTCCTCCTGTGGGTTTGGGTTAGGTTAATATATGACAAAGCTGCCGAATCGAATTTGTTTGCACTTGCTAGTTGGTTCGATCTCCTCCTGTGGGTTTAGGTTAGATTAGTATATATGACAAAGCTGCCAGAATCGAATTTGTTTGCATTTGCTAGTTGGTTCGACCTCCTCCTGTGGGTTTAGGTTAAATTAGTATTATTATTATTATTATATAACGATTCGTAAAACGAACATAACGAAGTATTGCGTTGTGTTATTTAATACATTATACTGGTAGTACTTACACCATTTGTTCATTATGCCACTTAATCGTTGTATCTAATGTTTGTTATACTGAAGGCTCATTATACACATTGTAATTATGCCTTTTGTTGTTTAAATACAGTGAGTGATTACATCCTTAGAAATTATATCAAATGTTATTATACCAAGTGAAAATAGATTATTTGTTGTTATATCTTCCATTACACACCCCGGGAAACCCCGTACGCGCATACGCGCGCGATTGGCGATTTTCTGTTTGAAGTTTATTAAGCTAACGTTCTTTCGCGCGCGATTGCTGATGTTCGATTTTATTACAACGGAAGAGCGTCAGTGTAAAAGGTAATCAATTGTGCGTGCGACTGATGACCGCAATCGCGCGGTCTTTTCCTTCCAACGTGCGCTCAATCGCGCACGATTGCTGTATCACGTGCGATTGAGTATCTATGTAAAACCCGCTATTGTTGCGTTTATTGCCGGTAAGATCAATGGGGGTTGGAGACTTCACACATCCTCCAAGGATTGTGAACCTTCGACATGCAATATGACGTTTTTCCTTATCTGTAGCTAGAAGTATTGCAGTATTGCATATATAATACGTATATTATTACTAAACATTCAATAAATTTATTTAACATAGGAATTTAAGTCCGTGCCAACGCAGGGTTCGAACCGTCGACTCTCAATTGAAAAGGAACCGTTCCCACTACCACCGCTCTTATTAATTAAATATATTTTTATAGGGTGAAATAGAAGGTCAAGGTCTTTTCGATGAAGTGTCCCATTTCCCACTATTCGCCGAGCTGCTTGAAGAAGAAGAACCGGGCATAGACGAAAGCGTTAGGCAGCTAACACGACAACGCACTCTGTCTATTCAGGTGAGTGCCATACCATTACACTAACACTGTACTATGAGTACAGTCACCTGCGGTGAAATATATACGAGTCAGTGGCGACACACTATAATGAGATATGTATGATAAGTCCTTAAAAACATAGCAACGCGGCTTCTATGTGTACACGCGCATCGAGTATATAACCATAACGAATAGAGACGACATGTCATTTAATTTATTTGAAAACTATTCTGCCAAACCATTACGGTGACAACTGCGCTCCGATTGGCCAGGCTGAATTCAAATCAACCAGTTTAACTAGAACCTTGCTATAATGAACGAAAATTGAAAAATTACATGTTTATTACCGACGAAATGTTTCCGTTCGTCCGTCCGTTTATTTTGTAATTAGATGTTTTGCTGTTTTTCCCACACCACCGAATGGAACAGCCCCCATTGTTAGAGATATTATCTTTATTACAATAAATACAGAATATTTTTGGAATATACGGAGACGTACACACAGGTTAGTTGTTGGCACTGTACAATTTCAGCTTTCTAATTTGTGATTTCAGCACAGCAGTTGATATTTAAAAGTGATATAAGGCCCATTTGCCTGATGAGGTGCCAGGGATGTATGGCCCTTATTTCGTCTCTATTTCTGATTGTATACTCGATAACAGGATGCACACATTCACATAATCTCTCAGTGCACTCGCGTCGCATAGCGCGAGTCGTCTCACGCGCCTTTCATTAATTTATAGAATTGAAGCGTCCGCTCGGCGTTTATAAAATGACATCAAATGTTAGACATGTTTATTATTATGTTTGTGGCTGTTTGAACAACAACGCTTCTGATACAGAATTGTTTAGCTTTCGTTTCTATCTATAATCCATACTCATAATTGAGATACCAATCCGCGATACTGGTATAAAAATATTAATACGTAAGTAGGTAGTGTATTTAACAAAAGTTATTTCAATATAGCACGAGAATAATGTGATGAGCATCTTGATTTTTTTCAATTATGTTTATAAGTTATAGGTACAACTAAAATAATATTGTAACAACCCTACGAATTATATAGCACTCCGCACCCACACCGTTGCAGACATCCGTGTAGGTCATCCATGTCGCACAGTTAGAGTTTAAACATTTACGCAGCAAACAGGCGGGAGTTACTCTACTTTTTAATTAAGTTATGGTGGGGACGAGTGGATAGCCTCGAAAAAGAAGCAGATACCGAAAATTCAACAGAAAGTCTATTGTGCTATTGATTTAACGCCATAAAATATGTATTGACTCGAACACTTATCATTGCACCATGAATATAGCAATCCATAAAAAAACTTGTAATAAACATATTAGTTTAATATACATATTTCATTAATTTATAATGGTGATAAACAGGTCATATTATTAAAGTAAACAAAAGTTTGTACTGATTAAAATAATTTACAGTCTCACACAAGTGCCGTTACGCTACAAGATAATGCAAATGAAGAAAATGAGGAACCGACAGAATCTGAAGAACTTATGGAAAAAGGTACGTATGAATACAAGCTAACAAAGTTGCTTTCGGTCGCTGTAATTATGGCGGTTTTTACAAAAATGTAGCTTTTTTTACTTAAATTGTAGATACTTAGTTGGAAAAATTTGTCTAATTCTAAATAATTAGGACCGAAAAACACTTTATAAAATGTTCGTGGTGATCCTGTCGTTTCTTTATTTCTAACAAAGAATATATGTTTGTGATTTTCATACCGAACTGGCGTTTTATAACACAAGAAAATATTGTCATTGCCAAATAGGAAAAAAAATGTTTATTTTATGAAATAATTGTAATGGCTAAATAAATTTTATTGAATTGATATTCAATTATTTTTTTGTGAAATTACTTCACTAGTTTGTTATAATGATTAATACAAAGATCGAACATTTAGAAAAAGATCCGGCCGGATTCGAACCGCCGTGTTCTAGTAAACTGTGCCAGACGCTATGCCAACTAAACCACGGAACGAACCAGCGGACTTCACGAATTTTTCTATGTGCTTGTTGTCGGATCTTTGTTTGGTTTTCATCAACTTTTTAGCCGTAGCGCCATCTATGCGAAATCTATGAATTGGATGAACTGTAATGGCTTTCAGAATATAATTTTTGAAAATTTGCAGTAGTTAGTAGTAAAATTTTTCGCTGATTTAGGCAAAATAATTTATTTAGCGTCAGATTTATTTGAAAATTAATTACGTTTGTTTTATTGTTACACAGGACGTGTATCAGGGTCAGTTTACTTAGCATACTTCCGTTATGGCGGCGGCTGGTGCTTACTCTTGTGGACCATAATCGGCATTATATTAGCGCAGGTTGTCACTTCTTTTAGCGATCTCTGGCTTTCACACTGGTAAGTCAATGCTTGTCTACTCTTGAGTTATTTTTTTGTATTGAGAAAACACGATTTGAAAATTCGAAAAATTATTACTGAATAAAACCAATAAATATACCCATGTTCACGTTTATAAATGGAGAACTAAATATTAAGTATAAATAAAAATAATCACATTATTCGCAATAAGATCCGTATAATATATTTTTTTTAATTTTCGAATCGTCTTTTTTAATTACAATTTATAAATACGACACTATAATTACGTTTTCATTATCTGTGTCCATTATCAGTGATCGGGAGTTAATCTAGCTAAAATATGAACATTTTCTTGTTATGAACATACCCATTTCGTCATTAGTGCGTATAAAATGTCTTTTTTTACTGTTTATATTTTAAACATTCCAAACTATCTTGTTTATTTTAAATAGTTAAAGTATCTAAATGCGTAAATATCAGTAGAAACACAACTACAATTGTTATTTTTTGAGGCAATAAGCACACGTTTGTAGCAAATACTTGATGGGAAATAATAATTTGTCGCCAAACTACTCAAATTTCAATAAATAATACGCATAACCAAATACGAAATATATATATATAATAAAATCGGAACTGATAGTTGCGAAAAGTGCCGGGAATTGTAGTAGGGAATGTGCACGTTATTCTTTATTTTAGCTGAGTTAACTCCTTCAATTCCTATTACTGGTCGTTATAGATAAGTCGACACGATCGAGGGTTATTGATTACTTGTCTCATGTTAAAAGGGCATATAATTTCAAGGTGACACGACTTTAAAAAAATTCCTACATAAGTACTAAGAACTTTATTTTTTTAAATAATCATGACCCTAGGAAAATAATTAACTCCTTGTATTGTTGTATTTACCATATTTCGATTTCTTAGGTTTTCGCGAGATTCACATATTGGAAATTACATCGATGCAAACGCGCGATAGCATCGTTACAAATGCGCAACTGCACCGATGTATACGCGCGACTGCAACGATTCAGTCGGTTATGTTGAATCATTAAGTGCGAAAAATCTGTACAGGTTTATCATAGGTTTATGTATATTCTTTTGTTTTGTTAATTGTAAATTTAAAAGTGGAATAAATAAATAAATAAAATAAATAATTTCTTTAAAAAAGTTTGATCGCGATTATATCGCTGCTTAAATCGCGCGCGCGCGTGTGTAAAGGTACATAGTTAACGACTGCGTCGCTACTGACTCGCTGCATACGCGCTGCTAATAATCGCCGAGTGTAATCGCTATTAAATGGATATTTGCACTTTTTATCCCAACACACATGTGGCTCATGTATTGGGATCACTCACAGCCAGTGCATCGACAAATGGTATAATAGATAGAGCCGACAAATGTGCTTAGTTTCCATAACAAAGTTTTGGAACTACAAAGAAATCATTGTGTTGTTCCATGACAATTTATAACTTTGTTATAGGATATAGTTTTGTAGTTAAATGACAATAAAAGCTTTGTTATGTGAAGTAAACATCTTTGTCGACTCTTAGTCAACAAAGTTTTGTTCTGAGAGTACCTGATAAAATCGATTTTATCTCCGTGTTAATATATAAAAAAATAAATAAATAACGCACACACTCAACATAGCCCAGCACTAGGGAAACCCTGTGTCACTGGTGGCTGGACACACTGTCTATGTGACAACCACAAAGTACATCCAAACTCACGAGAGAAGACCTCTGCGTGCCAGGTAACGTAATGGTAACCGTTCGGCCACGAAGGCAGTTAATGAAAATGCACTCTATTTTGCATAGTACCAGTAAAGCTCCATGTGCAAGAGTTCCTTGCCTATTTTTGCCATTATGTAATAGTGTGATGCGTGAATTACTGCGTTCCGGTTTTGTAGATAAGGATACTTGCTGGTAAAATTACAGGCACATGAAACTTGCCAGCTTATGTCTCAGAGTGACGTGGGCTGTAGCATTGCCTCAGATCTTTGTGATTTATGGCAGCATTGCATCTGCCATAAATCACAAAGATCTGAGGCAATGGCCTCTCTACTGCGTCTATGGCCGAACGGTTACCATGCCGGACTGCCAAGCAGAGGTTTCAGGTTCGATTCGTGGGCCATGAGAAATACTTGTATGGCCTACGTGTATTTCTGTCGTGAGTTTGGGTATAATTTGTCGTTGTCTATGTGTGTGTCCATGGCACCCGCGTCACAGGGTTTCCCTAGTACGGGGCTATGTTGAGTGAGTGTGTGTGTGCGTTATGGACAGGCGTTTCGCTTACAACCAGGCGCACGACTACTTCGTCCTGTCACTTGGTATCATAATTTTTTTTTTTCAGGATGAACGTAGTAGAAGCAGCGTACAGCAATCCTTATGCAAATAACACACTAAATGCAACGGATATCATCCCTCTACTCAACTCTACCGAACTAAATGACACAAGCGACATCTCGTCTACTTTTGCTACAATAACAGATAATTATACTAGTGACGTCACTGACGCAGGAAACGAAACAAGCACCCTGAAACCTACTGTAATTCGTTTAGTGCTCGATACGGCATTGGCATTGCAAAGGGCGGCTGCTGATAGAATTGAGCATCCTTATTATATTTACATATGGGGTCTAGGAATATTGGGGTGTATTGTGCTTACTACTGCCAGGTGAGTTCCAATTGTTTTTTATTTTATCTTTCACTGGCTGGTGCTCGCGATTTTTAAGATTTATTTTTGTGACAAAAATTCTTAGAGGATGGACAATTAGCCTAATATATCCTTCTCCTGGGTATCTCGGCGATATCTATACCAAAATTCGTCAAACTTGGTGCAGCGGTTCAGGCGTGAAATCATACCTGACAGAAAGAGTTATTTTCGCATTTATAATATTACTTTATAGTAGATTTAAGAGTCAGTTTTAAATGACTTCTATTTCACTTTTTGCCATTAGAAGGTGAGACTTTGAACTAAAACACATTGTAAATAAACAATGAAATAATCTATCAAACGAGTTTTATATATTCTGAGATTACTTACCTCACAAAAAATACTAGACTGTACCTGTAATCACAGAAGGTTGAAATTTGCATAATTACTCTCAACAAATATTAGTTAAGATTTCTTATCTTTAATTATTTTTTTAGGTGAATGGCACTCTACTAGTCTCTATTCTGTCCATTGACTTGGTAGGTCAATGACTTTGTCATTATTAGAATAGGCGGAGTATGCTTATCTAAACTTTTACTAATAAACGTGGAAAGGATAACACCTTTTGAGTTCATAGGCTTTCGCGATTGTTAAACATAGGAAATGAAACAATTTTTTTTATCTAAATCGCGTATGTTTGTTTATTCAAAGTAACCAACATTTCGGGCACATTACAGGTCCCATAAACGCGATAATATAGATCCGAAAAATACTAACATTTCCAAATACCTTCCTCTGACATCAAGGAATAATTTTATTAATAATAAAAGGTTTTATCAAAAATATATTTTTACTTACAATTACAAAACTTTTCTCCTAAATACACTACCGTAGTAAAGTTATTGCTAGTTAGTTAGTTATAGTTAGCTAGTCTTCTTTCCTAGTATTTTCCCTCTGCTCTGTTGAACTTGTCGTTTTCAGAAACATAGCAGAAGTAGATCTTTGGCGATATGATATGTCCACCTTCGGTCCACTATCCGAGGCGTCGACTGCATGAAGTTGACAACGACTTCACGCACTAACTGCATGCAGTTGAAACCGACTTTATGCAACCGAGATCGACTGCATGCAGTTAATGCGTGAAGTCGTTATCAACTTCATGCAGTCACCGTTTCTAAGTGAATGAAGTTGATTACGACTGCACGCATTAACTGTAAATATGCCATCAATCTGGTAGCAGCCTAAGTTTTACGAGGCCCTGATCAAATAGTAATATAATAATGGGAGCATTCCGGCTTTGAAGGGTAAGGGTGCTGGTGAAATTTCAGGCACATGGGACTTGTCAACTTATGTTTCGGGGCAACGGGCAGTGGCAGTGCCTCTCGGATCTTTGTGATGAAAGCTCTATTATTGTTTAGAGAATACAATACAATACTGCCTCCGTGACCGAACGGCTACCATGCCGGACTGCCACGCAGAGGTCCCATGTTCGATTTCCGGGCCGGGAGAGATATTTGTATGGCCTACACTTATTTATCTAGTGAGGTTGGTGTAATTTGTGGTTATCTATGTGTGTGTCCATGACAACCGCGACACAGATATGTTAAGTGTGTGCGTTATTTAAAAAATAAATTAAAAATCCGGGTTTTCAGATGGAGGGGTATAATCCACTTTGACTGTATTTATTACTTGAAATGAATTAATAAATTTTCCTTGGGTAATATAAATTTCACTCGTCATCTACAGATCGCTGCTCTTCCTCTGGGTGTGCATGCGCAGCTCGATCAACCTCCATAACAAGATGTTTAGTAACATCCTATCGGCTACCATGCGGTTCTTTGACACGAACCCCTCCGGGCGGATCCTCAACCGGTTCTCGAAGGATATGGGTGTTGTGGATGAAATTCTGCCTAGAATGTATTTGGATAGTATTCAGGTATCAATTTCTTTATTATTCTAATTCTATAAGGCTACAGTGACAACTTCGGTTTACTTTTTTCATTGTTTAAGTTAAAAGGACAAGCTGTTCTAAGTGGTATACAGCAACACACAAAATTGTTTGGAATGTCTTTGATGTCGTCAATTTCATTGTAGAAATATTTTGAAAAATTTTCTCTTACATTTTAGCTTTTCTGAAAAAATCTACCATTTAAAATTTTAAACAATTACCCAACATTAGACGTGTGCGACTCTGGATATATTGTAATTTCCATAGTCATTTTTAGGAATTAGTAACTATAAATTGAACTGTGGACACTTATTTATTATTTCGTTCTAATCGATGTTTTGCATCAACCTGTTTATTTCCCTGGATTAAAATAAAAAATAATAAAAAACCCAATAGTTAAGTCATTATTATAATGTAAACAACTAGATATAGTTTTTTGTCGATTTAAATAAGTTACCCATTTTTAGTTTTGTCATTGAATTTGCTACATTAATCATCAATCTGCGCTTATAAACATTTAACAAAAACAAAATCAAACAAAAGACAAACGCCAGGATATAAGAAGCGGCCTTGTGTATAATATTGTTTATATAACTATAAACAATATTATAACATTATAAACTCTCTATGTGTTCAAAAACCGCAAATTACGACCAGCATAAAGGTAAACTGTTATGTTAGAACAAATGTCTTATCTGTGAAAATGTTATTATTGCTTCATAATAACATCGAATTCGATGGTTTTTTTACATTCAGATTGCGAACATCTCTGAAAAACAAAACAATTTGATTGGACCTCAATTCTAATATCAGTCGAGATGAAGTTTTGTTCAAAATGAAATGTCAATAGCAAACCATTTTAACAATTTCACACGTTACTTGATATCGAACGATATGATAGTTGGGGCCGATAGTAGTTCTCTAGATCTATGAATTAAAAATAAAAACTACGGTTGTGTGACAAAAGTTTTTATTTGCCGCCATTTCGCCAGTTGTAACATGCGTTTCCTGAACACATAACAGAGAGAGAGAGAGATAAACCCTCACTCGTATTTTAATGCCTTTAATTATATAACAGTCACATAAACTACTATTGTAATGAATGTTTTACTATCATGATACACATTTAATTTTTGTAAAATGTCTCCGCTAGTTTGTTATTATTATAGAAAAATTAATTTGATACAGAGCGGTCGCCCCGGTATGGCACAGACGTAGGTTCAGGTCTGGTCAGATCAAAGGAATTTGTCTTTATATTAATAATCTGTATTAATAATTATGACCTATAATAAGGTACCTGGCTGAGTGAATAAATAGATTCCTCAAAGATGGCGATACGGCAAAAAAATCGTTAAAAAACCCAAAACAAAGATGCAACAAGCATATAGAAAAATTCGTAAGGTTCGTTGGTTCGTTCCATGAAGGAATATTTTCTAAGTGTTCGATCTTTATATTAATAATTATAACAAACTAGTGGAGTACTTTCACAAAAAATAATTGAATGTCATTGTGGTGAAACATCCTGACATTCAATAATTTTGGTTATATAACCAGGTTTTTTAAAATAATGAATTGGTAGTTTATTATAATAATAATTGAAGTATGTTTTTACTTTTCATAACCAATTATTTCGTGTAGGTGATAATGGTAATGCTGGGTATCCTGGTGATGGTGGCGATAGTGAGTCCATACATGCTACTGACCACCGCCGTCTGCGCCGTTCTCATGTACCTCTGGACCAACATCTATCTTAACACCGCTCAGGCTATCAAGAGGTACCTGTAATGAGAAACCGTTACTTAAACGTTTAGTATAGGACTTAAATGCTTTACATCAAACGAGAGGTGTTTTCGTCCATTAATATGAACAATTTTATTACTGTATTATCAATACCTCCAATGGATACTGCGCCAACTTAATTTTTTGACCAGCTCTGTTTTTATTTTGTTCTTTGTTTCTTCACTTCTTTTTCTTTTTGTTTTTTCGAATTTTATTTATTTATTTTTATTTAATAGTTTATTGTACAGGAAAAAAAAAAAACTCACAATTAATACAAGAAAAATACAAACAAAAGGTTCTGCTTATTTCTAACAGAAATTTCTTACTGCAGACCTAAATACAGGACACTGTAACTAAATGAACGGGCTTACGTGCACAATACAAGAAAAAAAATGTAATTTAAAAAATAATAAATACATATTTCAAAATATAACACCTAAGACATGGATGAAATAGTAGATAAATAATGCTCTTTAACTCTCGCTTTAAAAACACCTAACGATTTACTTTCGTGAATAGTAACAGGAAGTGCATTCCAAAACCTGACCGCATGAACAGTGAAGGAGTGAGAATAAAAACCGGAATTGAATGATCGAAAAGATAATTGGGACCTAACAAGAGAGCGACAGGGTTTATCCTGGGACCTAAGAAATCTGAAACGCTCTTTCAGGTACCCTGAAGACACAGGGTCATGTAAAATATTATAAAGAATGGACACAATATGCAAATTCCTGCGGCAACGTATAGGAAGCAATTTGAGTTGACTGCGGAAATGTGAAATTCAGTCATATTTACGAAGCCCAAAGATGAATCTTATGCCTAGGTTTTACAATCGTTCAAGTTCATCCAAATAGCAGGAATCAGCATAGTCTAAGAAGGGCAAAATAAGAGATATATATTGGTTTTTAAAGGTAAAACGTTTTGAAGGCGCTTAAGTGAGTGCAAGGAGAAATGGACTTTTCGACTAACTTCATTAATATAAGGAGTCCAAACCAACTTACATTCTAAAAGCAAGCCAAGATTAGTTGCAGTAGAAGCATATGCAATAGGCGTGGAATTATACGCTATAGGTGGGACAGAATCTAGATCCAATATGCCACGGATATCCCCTTTTTCCGCAATCACATAAATTTTGTATTTTATTTCTTTTTTTTCCACAGAATTTTAATAATATTAGTAAATAAATATGGCTGTTTACAAAAATGTGCTCTATGGAGGTATCGCTATAATCATTCCCAGTCGTTTAAAATGTGTTTGGTGTTTGTTGTATTCATTGAAAAGGCCAACAAGGCAAATACTTTGTCATACATGCTATTACATGGTGATTGTTTGCCACCTTATGATGGTCACCATCATATTCATTATTTTAAAAGCATTTGTCAGTTTGTTATCTGACTCCTTATCTTTCTCCTTGTGTAGACGGCCATATTTGTCAGTATCTGCATTATTTAGATGTATACGTCAAATATTTTTTCAAGTACATCAAAACATCCAATAACAAGTAAAAATAGTTAATATTATTATTTATTAAACCCATCATCAAATAAAAATTTAGCTTTACTTATTCATTATTGTATCACGTGTTTAGGGTAGAAGGAGTGACGCGCAGTCCAGTATTCTCACATGTGTCAGCTACTATGGCAGGACTTACAACAGTGCGTGCTTGTGGGGCACAGGAACTGCTAAAGGTGCAATTCGATGACAAGCAAGATGTCCACACTGCTGCCTGGTAAGACAGTTCTTATTTAATTTTTTTATTTTAATAATATAAAGTGACTGGACGATCACGATCGTGCGCCTGATGGTAAGTTACACGCCTGTCTAATAACAGTTGCAGTGCCCAAGAAGCTCTACTGCTACTTAAAATCTTGTTTGCTAAAGAGCTCAACATTTATTTGATTATGATATAGTCCAATGTAAAGACCCATTAAAGGCGAACCTTAGGTCCTATACAATTTCTGATTATGATCAATGACTTCCATACAGTAGTCCAGAAGTTGGTTGAAGTAACAACATTAATACACTCAGGCGTTACTTTGCGTGAATAGATATTAATGAAAATGGGAGATAATAATTCTGAGCACCCGGTGAAGGTTAAATCGTGCAAATTGTTTTTCCTACAAAAGTATATTAGTACATCTTATTAGTATTATATTATTATCTTGAAAATTAAAATGTCTTTATTATATTTCACAAAAGAAACTTATAAGTGTACACCTATGGTATGGTACGTTTGTAAGTCTGGTGTCCGTTATAGAGCACCAGGTTCTCACCTTTCCACCTCCAAGCATACGTAAGAAAGATGGGCATTATATATATATATACATTCTAATAATGTATGTCATTCATATGTGGAAACTTTTAATTGGCATGTGATTAATCATTATGTAAATCCATTTAAAAAAAGTAAGCTCTCCTAATACAATAAAATTATAGATTATATATCATTTGAATGTTTATTTTAGTAATGAGTAGTATTTATTTAAAACAGTTCCAATAGATGATATTCTTTGGTTGCACCCCCTTCCCAGCTCTTAAATTTCTATCTTAACGTTGCCTGGAAGAAATTGCTACTCTGCAAAAATGCCGCCTATTGTACATTAGCTTACTCTGCTGTACTTACATTACCTACTGTTTTGTGTTGTCATTGTAGTTTTTAATGTGCAATAAAGAATGTTAAATTTTATTTTATTTTATTCATTCAGTTTCAGTCATTGAATGTCAGTCAATTTTCTCATAAAAATTCATAAATTAATAAATAACACAAGCGCAACTACAGTCAAAAACACCATTGCCAACAACATACCCGACACTTCTAAGCCCGACACGTAGAGAGGCGAAACACGTTTCGCGGGTTGTTGATTATTCGACACTCGGCCGAAAAATGATTTTGTCACGATTTTTCTTCTTTTAGTAACTGCATGAAAAAATATTAAACACTTGCACCATTTAACACATTCACCTTCAATTCTTGAACCAAAGCATTCTAACGTTTGAGAAACATTTTTTAAACCTCCTTATTCATCTTTTTTTTAAATATTTTATTAGTCTCAAGTTACAAAAATTACGCTTAAGCATTTATTGGTGCTGCTACTATGCCTGGTGAAGAAAGATCTCGCCCGATCCGGGCAACCAGGATGTTCCGCTCTGAGGCTCATCCTAAATCCTGGTCCCTCCCACAATGGTGGCACTGCGTCGTCGAATCGCGTCCGATCCGATTTAGATACTCACTGAAGCATCTGTGCCCGGTGAGTATCTGTGTCAGCCGGAAGCGTGGTGTGTAGTGTTATCATGTTACTTATAGTTCATCCTACATATTCACATTCATTTTTGTGGCTGTGGGCAAGCTTCATCGTCACGTTTATGACCATTTTGGTAAATTCCATCCATTGGTTTCCTGGTTACGAGCTCCCAAAATGTATCGCTTGACACTCCTCATCTTCAATCGCCCTTTTTACTATCTTCTACACATCACAGATTGCACTACAGGTGACGCAGTTCCGCTGGCTCAACCAGACTTCGAGGTTGGGCAGGATCGCGCCGATGCACAGTGGCCCAAATTGATAACTCCTGATAGTTTCGGAGAAAAAAAATATTTTTTTTAGTATGGAGAAATATACATTGTATTTTTATCTCAAAATATACGAAAATGTAATGTGCGTGTGTTACTTACAGTATAGTTCCAATCTTTTTCTATGTATATTTCTCCAAACAGAAGAAACTAAATTTTTTTTCTCTGAAACAATCAGTTTTTCAAGAAATTACATAAGAATAAAAGATATCAGGAATATTATTATGTATCATATGAAAAAAAATCGGCTCTGTATTCCTAAAATTGTTCCCATGATTAATTAAAAATATAAAAAAATAATAAAAAAATTAAATAATAATTTAGCCTAAAATTTATACTTTTATTTCTGGTATTTTTTAATCAGCTTTTAGGAATACAGAACTGATTTTTTTATATGATAAATAATAACATTCCTGATAACATTTATTCTTATGTAATTTTTTGAAAAGCTGATTGTTTCAGATAATAAATATTTTTAGATTTTATTGTTTGGAGAAATAAACATTTTATTTTTTATCTCGAAATGTAGGAAAATGTAATGTGTGTGGTTTATTTACAGTATAGATCCAATCATTCTCTATCAAGAAAAAAATAATCCATCTGCAGGTACTTGCTGCTTTACGAGTAAAAAGGTGGCAAAATTTTAGATTTGTTATTTATTTTTTAACACAATATACTAGTTTCTACTTAACTTTCATGTTATTGTAATAAAATTCTCTAAATTACACTAAAATTAATTTTTCTTTAACTGTAGCACATGTATTTTGTTAAAAAAGTTAGCAATTGTGCCGCACCTTTACTTACAGAACCGCAAGTACATGCAGACAGATCATTTTTTTATTGGAACTATAAAAAATAAAATGTATATTTCTCCATACAAAAAAAAAATATTTTTTTTTCTCCTATCAACTTTTTAATAAATTATACAATAAAAGTTATTAGGACTGTTATTATCTATCACATATAAAAAAATTTGCTCGATACTCCACAAGTTATTACTTTGTTCAAGAATTATCAATTTGATCCTACTGTGCGACGGCGCGCTGCGCTGGCGCGATATCCACGGCTGTTTCGGCCTGTCGCATCACTTCTCGAACGCCTGTCGGCGCTCCTAGTACCGCACTTCCGGTGGCGCAGCTTCCTCCGCCTAATTGGTGCTGTACCCAGGTTAACACGTCTATCATCTTTTGCAGGTACTTAACGCTTGTAACGAACACAAGCTTTGGGATTTGGTTGTGTATGATTTCTGCATCATACGTCGTGGTGACTGCATACACATTTCTCTTTATGGATGACGGTAAGTCAACATAATTTGTATGTAGTAGTAGTAGTGTATTTAGGTATAAAAGTCTTACAAGACAAATGGGGAAATTGGAAATTTATGTTGGCAATACTTGCTATTTTGTTTTTGTTCTACTACTACGTTATTGTTATTCCTTTTTTATTTTTATTGTCTTTTGCAAAAAATTTCAAATATTGGAATTTTTTCCGGAAAAAATCCGGAAACCTCAACATCTCACTTGATGGGAAATGACAATGAGGTCAATGTTGGAGCATGGACATTATGCCTATTCACTCTCGCTTTGTTAACAGGTACATGGACATTATGCCTATTCACTCTCGCTTTGTTAACAGGTACAACAAAGTCCGGCAACGTGGGTCTGGCTTTAAGTCAAGGGTTGATCTTAGTAAATATGGTTCAACACGGCATTAAACAGGCCACCGAAGTGATATCCCAAATGACTAGCGTGGAACGTGTTCAGCAGTTCACCTCTTTGCCTAAAGAAAACACGGAAGGACCAACTCCGCCTAAAGGCTGGCCGCAACGGGCTAGAGTTGTTTTTAAGGAAGTGTACTTACGATATGATAGAGAAGCAGAACCTGTACTTAAAAATTTGAATATTGTTATTGAGAGTGGTTGGAAGGTTAGTATATTTATATTATCGAGTACTTAGGTTTTCGCAATTGTCACACATAGGATATTAAATAATTTTTTCGGATGTAAATTGCGTGTATTTGTTTTTTTGAAACATAACAACGTTTTCACAACAATCGTTTACACGCGATTTAGATCCGAATAAATAATTTCATTTTCCTCCTTCCTTTCCTTTATTAATGTTAGTCAAAATAAAAATATTGACAATTTCGCGTTTAGAAGCTTGGGGCGCCTTCAAATTACAAGCTTATAGAACGGTGCAGTGGCGCCACTTACTAATTTTCATAATATATAATATTAGGAGCACAATTGCAGCGCCACTATCGCGTCACGCGCACGGCACTTTTGCAGAAAACAATTAGGAAGTAAGATGTAACGTGCGGTTTCTATAAGCGTCTAATTTGAATCAGCAGCAATTCCAATCACCATCAAACTTAAAAAACAACATTAGCTGAATGTATCTGCTTCAAAGAATATGTTAAAAGGTTTTTCGCGTTTGTGGAATCAAGTCCACGCAAAATTAATAATAGTATGCGAGAAAATATTACTTTTGTTCACTATGGTATATTTTACATTATAATGTAAATCTTACGAGCATTTACATATTTAGCATACGAGCCGTCTCTGGTTTTCATATTAGATCCGTACTATGTTGCTACAGTTTGTACCAATACAAATTAGTATAAAACGTAATAAAAAGGACTGATTAAATTAAGTCAATGGATTAAATAAATCGAATTTGTTGTCAAGTGTATTTTAAATATCTTGCGTTGAAACCAATACAGTTGCTAAACTAAAGTCGCGCGTTACACTATTTTTATAAACTTTAAATGCCGTTTTCCGAAATTTGACTTCTTCGTTTAGTGGCGACTGAACTCGCCCAAAACATGACTTCTTCGTTTAGTGATGCAACGAAAAAGTTCCATTCCGGGAATGGCCTTTAATTTCCGAAACTAAGTTTGAAAATTCAAAACGCGTGATTTTCGTTTTCAACGTATAATTATTATGCCAATGTCTCTGTATACCACAGGTTGGAGTAGTTGGTAGAACAGGTGCAGGGAAGTCCTCTCTAATATCAGCGCTGTTCCGCCTAGCGCCAATCGACGGCCAAATCTTCATAGATGACGTGGAAACAGGCACCATTGCACTGAAGCAACTGAGATCGAAAATAGCTATTATACCTCAGGAACCCGTATTGTTCTCCGCCATGTTACGATATAATTTGGATCCCTTTGATAAATATACTGATGCTGACATTTGGAGAGCTCTTGAACAGGTACGTTATTTTCGTACAATATCGCGCCTCGGGTGAAACACAGCCTTCTATTCTATTCTATTTTTAAATTTCTGTCTTCTCTTGAAGAATTTTGCCAATGTCAAGTCAGTCATGGGAGTTACACTATGATTTTTAGATGTTTAATTAATTAACACTGCTCTTTAGTCTATTCCGGCTTCTTCACCACGCAGAATACACTAAAATATGTAACTTTATACGGAACAATAGACAGACATGCATTCCTTCATTTCGCCGTAGAGGGCGCAATGCTTCTCTTCAAATGTGCTCAGTAGCAGAGCTTGGAATATCGGTATTTTCAAAAACCGGTACCACTAAACATGTTACAGTAAGGGTACCTACTTGCTATCAGTATAAATTATACATGTATTTTCAGGTACCATTAACCTTTTTACGGTATTTTGAAATATTTCACTGACCTTGTGGATTTATTTCTTTCGTTTTATTTTCATTTATTTAAACCTAGTACTGTTCTTCTCGTTCACATTACTCTCTTCACACACTCACTCTATCGCCCGTGATCAGGACCGCACAGGATTGCCAGCGAGAAAGCTTTTACGCGTAGTTGTGCGCTATTACTGTTTGAAGTTTTAAAAACTAACGTTCTTTCGCGCGCGATTGCTCGTGTTTGTTTTTATTACAACGTAAGAGCGTTCGTCTAAAAGGCAACTTTGGAACGCACGATTGATAAGTGCAATCGCGCAATCTTTCGCTTTTTTTTCTAACATCTTTAGACACGTGCTCAATCGTGCACGATTGCTGTGTCACGCGCGAAAGAGTGTCTGTGTAAAGCCCTCTTACGTAGGTATTATGTTATTATTTACAGAATTCTTTTAGTTTATCTCGGAATTGTATCCAGTTTTATGCATCGATTTAAAAAAATAATAATTCAAAATATATCCAGGTGGAGCTAAAGAACAGTGTAACATCACTAACGGCGGAGGTGGCCGCCGGTGGGTCGAACTTCAGCGCAGGCCAGCGGCAGCTGCTATGTCTTGCGCGCGCCGCACTCGCACGGAACAAGCTGCTCGTACTGGACGAGGCCACAGCTAATGTTGATCCTAAGTAAATTCTATATAATAGGACTATTCAATAGAACTAATGGGAACGAAGCAGACTTTGATCAATTCCACATACAATTAGACCGGGTCTGTAATATCATAGTAGATATATAATAAGTCAAGTACTTTAACTCCGGGCTGATCGACGCGTCACTCGGAGCGTCATATTATTATTGTAGTCGTACTTACTTACAAGTTGTAAACATAATTTAAAAAGAGAAAAGTAAGTTAGGCTCAATTTATATTGCGGCGGAACGGAATGGATGCGATTTTTTAGTAACAATATTTTTCATAGCCTAATGAACATTATGATCAATTGTGTAACGTACAAACTAGATACCAGCCAAAATCTTCTGCGGAATGCGCGAGCATTATGCTATGTGCAATATCGTTACAAAAATTCGCTTTCATTCCGTTCCGCCGCAATATAAATTGAGCCTTATTCATAATAGTATTCTTGTGCTATATTGAAATAATTACTGTCCCATTTAAAAATAAACACTCTGTATATTGACAAAAAATTATCTTCCTATCGTTTCGATGGCATATAATGTAATACTTGCCATCGTGGTGAAGGGATACGCCTATCGGCACGTACAGGAAAGGAACGGTACGTCAGACGGGGAGGCTCCTTTCGTGCACCGAAATTTATATATCGGCTGAGACATTTACCATCTTATACTAAATTTTAATAATTATTTATTTACAGCACTGACGCTCTAATCCAGAAGTCGATTCGTAAATACTTTGCGGACTGCACGGTGATCACTGTAGCCCATCGTTTGCACACTGTTGCCGATTCTGACCGTGTTCTGGTTTGTACATATATTTGTTTTGTTATTTTACCTTTAGTAGTACAGTTTGTCCGCCGTTTACACCGAGTCGTCTGCCGCCTTCGGCAGAGTTCGTGGACCGTCGCGTCGATTGACGAAAGCGACCATGTCGCCCATAGCGTTCACACCTAGTGGCTTCAGTCGACTTCGGGTGCAAACTACAGTCGTCAGATGATTCGAGGCGCGGTCTCATTATGTCGTAACGTTTTATTTACCGTTGGATGACTGTCGCGTCTAGCCTGTGCCCATATCACGACTATTTGTCGTGACTGTGTCGTGGACGTTTATTTTATCGTTGAACGACTGTCGTGTCTAGCTGCTGTTCCCACTAGATCGTGACGAAAATTCATCGTTTCACAGCAGCCGCCTCGTCGTTTGCAGATATGAGACAACGATAAATAAAACGTGACGACAATAGTAGCTGCAATTATCTGTCGTCACATTTCTATCGTGACGTTTTATTTATCGACTGACGACAGTCGTTCTTGCTCTTCCATTGTCTCGACAGTATGTCGTCGTAACATCAAAAAAGTCATGAACGACAGTAAATCCTGTGATACTATATGTGAACAACTTCATTTAAATAAACAAGCCACGACACTTTAAACTGCACGACTATCTGTCGTCACGACATAATGGAAATGCGCCATCAGTATAGTAGTAGTAGTTCGGTGGGCAAGCGAGTGTCGCCTGTCGACCTGAGTGTAAATGCGCCATAAAAATAAGCGCAGAATGTCGAAAAACACAGCAGTCTTTCTTATTTTTAACCGACTTTAAAAAGGAGGAGGTTCTCAATTCGACTGTATGTTTTTTTTTTGTATGTATGTTACGCGATAACTCCGGTATTTGTGAACCGATTTTCATGATTCTTTTTTGTTGGAAAGAGGGTACTTCCATAGTGATCCCATTTCATTTTGAAGAAACTCATCCACCTCTAAGGGTGACTGTTCACGAACGAAGATTCATTTTTATAAACAGCGCCTAAATTTTACTTAAGGAGCAATTATCTTAATGGTTGATTTTGCTATTTCTCCAATTCAAGGCGTTTTTCTCTCAATATATGTTGAGTAGTGAGAACCGATTTTTATTATCTCCAGTGTCAAGTCCTGTATAGTGGCGATTTTTAGGATATTTTAATAAAACTTAGCAAATAGACGTAATTTCATGTACTTTTGAGGTCGGTTTTTTTAGTACTCTGTACTGAGATTATTTAACTTTCTTCTTCTTTTATAGGTTAGTTCATTTCTCATTCTTTGTCAGCGCACGCAAAATTGTACAATTGTTTTTTTTCCATAGACAACATGGCGAACTTTGACCTCAATTATCTCAGGTCGCAAGTCGAGATTCAATATTTAGACTTACACGACTTTATAATTGTACTTTTAATGCTATATAGTTCCAAATTTCATACATACCTATCGATTGAGGTTCGACCGAGTAATAATTAAATTGTGCAATTTTGAGTGGATGCCAATAAAGAGAATGTCGCTAATGAGTCGTACGTTGACCATATAATGCATTGAATCTCTAATATAATATGTTAGAGATACATAACACAAAGGTTTTTGATCTAAAGTATATAAATCGATGACTTTCTACAATGACCTTTGTTAAATACATCTAATTCAATATGAAGATGGTTAAAAAATATGCCGTATAAGTTTCTTCAAAAGCAACGGTGTGTCAGTGTTAAAATTGGCGAAATATTATTTGCACACATTCATCTTTTCGCCTCATCTTTAGAGTACAATAGGATAAAAGAGTGAACCTTCTCGATAACTCACACGTGCCTTCTGTATAGTGCAAACAAATAGTTTTTTTTTTGAATTTTGAATTTTGAAATTGATAATCTTTATGTAGAAATAACTTGTTGAATTAGTAAGATAAGAGTCGGCAGTCGGTATTTTACGAAGTATCTACTGTTAAAAAAAGTACCTGTTGTGTAAAGAAATAATTCAAAACTAGAATTCAGAAAAAGCATTTAGCGCAAATGACTCGTACAATGGACCAAGATCGATAAATCCATGTACGCTTTAAGTAAAAAACGTGTTAATGGTTTTATTACCTTTTTGTAATAGAAAGGATAAACCGTTCCAGGAGATACTATTATTCGGTACAAATAATACATTTCCGGACACACAATTCAAACCACCGCGCATTTTCAGTATTAAGTGCCCCTAAGCTTAAACAATGTTTGATTAATCACTAGTATACTAAAGTCTTTTTCCATAAGTTCTTGTTGGGAATTTAGATTTGCAAAACCGAGGAAACTTTTTCTTCGATGATAACACTATTTTTGTATTCTAGCCCTTTACGATAAAAATGCGAGGTGTCTCGAATTATGTGTCCGGAAGTATACTTTTAACCATAATTTGTCAATAATTGTGTAACAAATTTTGAAAAAGGCTCTGTTTCTGGTTTGACAGTATGGGTCTCATTGAGCAGCAAGTATGTAGAAAAGAGTAGCCATACCCTTGAAACTTTGCTCTTGTGGCTGTCCCATTATACAGTGTGTAATCGTTAAGTGTGCCCAAGCGATTATTTCATAAATATAAGAGATACCAAAAAGTTTTAAACTGATATAGTATGTAAGTATGTTACCTAGTGAGTAAATCGACATCAATAACTTTTATAAAGAAAATTACAAATATCCAAAATTTTAACATTAAACGCTCCCACACTTTTAATATGACATTCATAGAGAGGCTTTAGTTGACCTACTTTAAGAGGTAACAATAAGTTTACAGATAACAAAACTGCTGTAAATAAATCAATGAAACTATCTTATAATTTAATAAAATGTTGTTCATTTTGTATCAAAGACATTTGATTAAATTTGACGAACTTCTGCTGTCTCGATTTTGTTCGTCTCATGAAATGAAACAATGAAACGATCCTTATATGAAACTGAGTCAATCTGCACTAAAAAAAATCATTTATATAGACAACTCACATTTGACTAAATAATTGACTATGCCATTATATATTTTTATTCAATTGAAAGATAGTTTTATTACTTTATTTATAGCAGTTTTATTGTCTGTAAACTTATTGTTACCTCTTAAAGAAGGTCAACTAAAGCCTCCCTATGAATGTCATATTAAATGTATGAGAGTGTTTAACGTTAAAGTTTCGGATATTTTTAGTTTAAATTTTAAAAAGTTATGGATGCCGATTTACTCATTAGGTGATGTACTTTCGATATTAGTTTAAAGTTTTTTGATATCTCTTATATTTATGGAATAATCGCCTGGGCACACTTAACGATTGCACCCTGTATAAAATCGTTGTGGCTGTCAGTGGTATTTACATAGCTGCCTTTACATAACTACATAGTATTTACATTCAAAGAATACTGGAGAAGTTGTATGTTTCCTTAATGATACGCAAACAAAGGCTGGCAAAAGCTGCCCTCAAAGTTTTTACAAGAGAAATACCGCTTTTTAATATTGTTAGAACCCATTAAAAAATGATACTAATAACCCAGAAACAAAAATCGTGTTACATGGTGTAATAAAAGTTGTCATGCTGTTGATAGACGTGTTTTAAAACAAACTTTTTATGTTCAGGTCATGGACGCGGGACAAGTAGTAGAATGTGGTCACCCGCATGAACTACTGCAGAATGAAGAAGGTCACTTCACAAAGATGGTGAAGCAACTCGGACCTGCGTCTGAGGCGAGCCTGCGTGAACTTGCGAACAATGCGCACGCGCAGCATATACGATACGTAGACGCTGATGAACAAGCGCAAGCGTAATAAATAACTATATACACAAATATATGCGTCGTAAAACGATCGCTATAATTGTATCTTACCACAACTTACACACTTGGCCGCACTAAAACTGTGTTTTGTAAGACAAATTGTCCGCGGCGGTTATAGCAAATAATGAAACGCGTGACCAAGTGTGATCATACGCTAATAATGATACTCCAACAACGTAATGCTTACTACATTAGGAGGATAGTTTTCTGATGTTGCAAGGTAATATAAACCGGTGCCACAGTGTTTTTGCCTCCAAGTAAGTATATCTACTGTAAGACGATATCTATGAACACATTTAAAACCAAGAACCGGTATGGTTCAACAAAATTGGGATTTGTAGTAAAAAATTATGTACTAAAATATGAATATTTACAATAAAAAAGTACTTAAAAATCAGAGTACAATGTATTAAAAATACTTATATTGGTCAGATACTTATAAAATGAACGCACAATTTTACGTACTGTAAAATCATCAAAATGATTAGGGTACGTACAAATCTGGTGAAAACGTCAGTTTGCGAAAAGCTCGCGAGCTGCACACGCGCATTACGTAGTGCGATCTGTTCGCGTGCTGGTCGTGCGCATACAGTGCATTCGCCAGATCTTATGTGATCTGTACGTACCCACAGAATTGGCTCCACTCTTTATCACGTGATATAAAACATAATAGCAGCTTTTATTAGTTAAGTTTCTTACTGTACCTATATTTATTTATAGTGAATGAGTTAAGTGGACCAAGAGGTTTAGTATTTAAGACATTGTATACAAAATCTTACAAAAGTGTCAAAATACAATGATTTATACCACATTACGGTGGCAGCCAGTAGTTGTTATGAACCAAGGAAATATTTTACTTAATTTTTATAACGAAGTACTTAGGTACAGACTATTTTCTTAGTTTTGTATTTGAGTTAATCCTTCCTTGCCAGCATATTGCATGTATAATTTCTAAATATTAATTCTATAAAATATTAAAGGTATTTTGTAAATGTGTAATTTTATGCAGTATACCTAACATGACCGTACAGCCCGCTTTGAGCAGAACAGTCGCGCTGACAAAACAGCACACGTGACAATAAATTTAAAAATTGGCACAAAAGAGGCATTCAAGCCTTATCGGCCGCTATGAAACGTATTTAAAAACTAAATACATTAAAGCTAATTTGCTCAGCCAAAGAATATATAAAGCCAGCCCACCAGACTCCACAGATTAGTTTTTTTAGTTGTTAATCATTAAACATTTCGTGACTACCATAAACAATATTTTTAAAACAATAATAAATTTATTAGGCAACCGGCTCCGAGAAAAAAAAAAATGGTCATGTTAAGTATACCCCATTATAAAACACATCTAGTAAGAATGCGGTGCTGAAGCATGCTGGTTAGCAAAGCCTAACTCTGACCATTCCATGTGGAAAATATAATTTATATTCAAGTGCCTTGCATTTTAAATAAGGTATAAGTCCTTGAAGGCTAATTACAATAATGAATTATACAAATGTCATTATAAGAAACTATATAGGATTATGTAGTTATTGTCAACGTCTTAACGTACTGGAATAAAATTGACATTAATATCCAAAATGTTATATGTAAGTGTAATGTATGAATAAAACCAATAAATACTTTTATTGTTGTATATTTGTCTTTATTTTATATTACCCTTTAGATCTGTCCTTCTTATCATAACTAATGCAATTGCATTTCAGTAACTTTCGAGAAAATGACATCTAAAATTTTATTGCCATGTTTTTTTGTCACCTAACAAAAAAGTCAACTATGCTGGATTTGCCTAACGATACAACTGGAACTAAATAAGATATAAAAAAAACTGATTAGACGGGATTGTATATCTCAATTCGCTATTCCTAGATATATTAATTGTCGAATTAATTTGCTTATGATAATCATTGACAGCAGTCAATGATTTGTTTATCAAATTTTTAAAATATAAACTATGCACTGTTACTACTGCACTTGCAGTAGTAACAGTGCTTGGCTTGTGCTTGGCTGCATATTAAGAAATAACATATATATATACTCTTCGGCTTCAAATTCTAATAAAAATTATTCATCAAAGTTGGTAGATATTTCCCCTGAATTTAAGTAACACCTGTGTTATATTAGTTGCACTTTACCATTTTTCACTAGATCGGCTATTGGTTTGTACTGTAAGATGTGCTGAGAACCCTCTGAAACAAGAAATATAACTAAAGTTATAAGACAGTAAATATATTAAAATTTGATGTCAGTGTAATAAGAGCGAAAAAGATGTTACATGTTTCATGTCAGCCGTCGGAAGGGAAGCAAAAAGCATAATTATTTATTTGTTAGGCACACGAACAACTACTACAATATTTCATGCATTATATATTACATTATATATTATTTAATACTTTGTCTAATTGAGTAACTAATTATAGGGGAGCACAACATGCAATAAAAAAAAATGTAAACAGTCATTTAAAAAAATAACAAAAAGAATTTTGAGACCAAAAACAAAGAAATATGATTCTGACACTAAATGAAAAACAATATTATGTCGGCGTTTTGAAGAAAGCTCGCTCTTATTGAGTAGACAGAGTTGATTCCATGTTAATAAGTTTGTTGACTCCCATAGTGTTGGGCTTACCATAGGTAAGGGAGTTATGGGCTCAACTTCAAAATAGCTGACATAGTTATTTGTGGAAAGGTTAGAAAACCCCACCTTCCAAATCTATCTCCTCATCTTGGTCCCCAAACAAGTCTTCAAGCACAACTCCATTGACTGTCGTGTTCGCTTTTAAAAACACATGACTCTGTAAATTAGGATACACAGCCATCTTGCTCATCTCAAACGTCTGCATATTACTAGGAACTTTACTTAATACCACTGTTTTGACATGATTTTCCATATTCAGTAAATACTCATGAGCGTACTTGTACTCAGACGGAGTCAAATAATTAGTCCCAGAGTCTGTTCTTCGTCTCTCTTCATTTAATATAGGAATACAGTACTGTTCTATTTTATGCAGTCTTGTCTTTAGGTAATTACATATAACGAACTTTATTCGATTGAGTTCCATTTTGTGGATAGACGCACGAAGGTCAGTCTTGGGTAACTTGTTGATATTCCTCTCCATGTGCTGGATTTGGCCCAACATACATTCTACAATATCGTTGTGGTGTGGAAGAATTTCAGGTGCTAGGCGTTCATTCTGCCAAGCGCTTTGTAGTGTTTTCAATACTGCATCAGCTGTAATTTCTTCTTCCTCGTCACTTAACGCAATATCTTCGATTGTATCCATTGTTTTCAAGTTCTTAAATTTCTAAATCACGCAAAACAGCGGGTTAGAAATTTCATTTTATTATAAAACTTGTTTTCATAGTCAGATAAGACAAGATCAACAAAAACACATGCCTACCTACACCACCATTTTTTCATTTTTCATTCAACAAATTTACATAGTGGACGTTAGTCTAAGGACGTGATGCTGTAGATTACATACACTGACTGTCAAAAAATTGCTACAAAAACAAGTATCCTGTCAAATTTTTTTTTATTTGGATACTAGGATTTAAGGATTCGCTCTGGACCTTTTGGAGGGAAAAGTGTCGTTTTTATTTTGACTTTCAATTATTGTGTGAAATCTAGTTTAAAGTGGAATAGGATAGTGCTATTGTGCCTTAATCGAAGATTAAAACGCGAAATTATACGAATCTCGAACTAGAATACCCGTATCGGCCTGTTTTAAGGAATCCCGAGTCAATCCAAGCACGCCGCCTTAAATTGCCTATCCTCTTTGTGGCGGCCATATTTACAGAAACATAATTAAACTTCATGTTTAGGCTGATGGCTTTGCCAAAGCCTTAATAAATTAAAAAAAAAAAACAAAAAAACTAGGATTTAATATGACAATTTAATAAGGGTCGTGTTCCAGAACTCTACTCAATCAGGACTTGAGTACAATTTGAAGCATTGGAAATACGACTCTAATGGCAAGAACTTGAGTATCATTTCTAATACTCTAAATCATACTCAAGGCCTGACTTGAGCATTGAGTGGAGTTCTGGAATAATGACCCGAATATGACCTTCAGGGTCGTATTCTAGAACTCTACTCAATGCTCAAGTCAGGATTGCACTGGCAACACAAGCACTGGAAATACGACCCTAATGGCAGGGACTTGAGTATGATTTCTAGTGCTTTGAATCATACTCAAGTCCTGACTTAAGCATTGAGTAGAGTTCTAGAATACGACCCTCAGAGTCGTATTCTAGAACTGTACTCAATGCTCAAGTCAGGATTACAATGGCAACACAAGCACTGGAAATACGACCCTAATGGCAGGTACTTGAGTATGATTTCGAGTGCTTTAAACCATAGGTACTCAAATCCTGACTTGAGCATTGAGTAGAGTTCTAGAATACGACTCTCATTGAGGAAAACGAAGTAAGTAAGGCGAAAGGAAGATGCTTTTCTGAAAACGGTAAAATCTCAACACAAACGTAAAATAACTGTAACGTACTTTCAAGACGCCCCATAATAACATTAATGTTAGAAACACAATTTCTTGATACGTATGCTTGCATATTTCAGGAATCAGAAATACTTAGTAGCTACTGAGTTAGTAATTTAAATAAAAATGAGTAAGTAACACGATTGAGTAACATCATAAGTTGCTCATAGGAGCTAACGGCGTAAAAACTGTTAATTCGTAAGTTCTAAGGTACTCGGTCCGTAGCTCAGTTAAGAGCGGTTGCCCCGGCATGGCAACAGACACCGGTTCGAGTCCAGTCAGATCGAAAGAATATTTCTTTGTGTTCGATCTTTGTATAACAATACAGCGGAATATTTTTACAAAAAATATATGAAAATCATGGTAGTAAAACATCGTGATATTCAACATGTATAAATAAATATTAGTAATTGAAGTTGGGAAAATGCTTAACTCTATTATAATACACCTACTTCGATGGGCGACCTCTGAAACTATAATCCACTTAGCGCTGCTCGTGCTTCTTAGAGGCCTCATAACAATATTAGCTGTAAGACATACAGAGCAGGGAAGCATTCGGAATTTATAACGCGATGACTCATACATTATAAAACATGATTTTTTTCTAGAGCAAGATAAATGGTATGTATATACTTTGAACTATATATAACTTTTTTGTAGGAATATACACTAATGTAAAGTTTATACGTTACATTCAAAAAGTACGGATATAGGGGAAAGGTGTACTAGATGATTCCCTCAAGGGAGAATGGTGGTAGTTTAAAAGATATTCAGCTTAAAGCAGATGTAAAAGCGTTGAATGATAGAAAATTTTTGCGGTCTCAGATTCCGCGCGCGACTAGTCGTGTTCCAGAAAAGCTCATGGAATGAAACTGAAACCAGAATGAGTATTGTATGTTGTTTGTACTATATTACTTACTAAACTACATTATTTTATGTAATATGTATTAAATTATTTATTATTTCACTATTTATTGTAGACACAACATGAGTTACGAAGAATCAGAATGGCTTGCAGAGGCGGCGGAACCAGAAGATGAAGATTTTGATGATGTCAAACCATTGCTACTGATAATGAGTAGGTTATCGTACTACCTGTTCCTAAAAAAACTTAGAAATTTTTGATTTTGTTTTCCTTTTTTATTTTATAGGATTTGAAATATTACATAGAACGTCATGAAAAAAACATTAAAAAATTAATGTGATTTTAGAGTTTCTACAATATTGTGCAATTGATGACAATATTGAAAATCCTCGATCATAATCTATTATAGTGTTATATACTTATGAACGATTAAGATGGAAAATTTCATCTTGTTTTGTTATTTTGTTGATATTTAACGTTGTTTGTGTCATATGACTAAAATTTTGATTTTTTTTATAGACTGTTCAACTGATAAGGACAAATTTAAAAAAATTAATAAATAATGTTTTTTTATTTCCATTTATATAGATAAAAGATTTTTTCTTATCATGTGCTACACAACGTCATGAAAATATTCATTTGTCTTCTCAAAGTCAACGTGTAAAGTTGCGGTCTTACAGACCGCACGCGACAGCTTATGTTCGGCGCAAGGGTGCGACCACTGGAAGGTTAACAAAGTCCTCACTTATGCAATCTGGGTATATGAATAAACAGTTACGGAACTTCAAGAACAAATAATCCTAATTAATTTATATCTTACAGGTACCTAAGGGTGGGCGATATTGTTTTTATGGCAAGTTGATATCCATCCTCGTCTCTATATCTTTAATTTCTGTTTAACACATTTTTTTTT